TTATGTTTCCTTTCGATATAAATTCCATTTTAGAGAAAAGAGCTTGATATCAATTACATGGTAACTTATAAGTGGCTACAGTGAATGTCGAAATATTTGGTTAGTTTCTCAATAATTATTTACCTTTATTCATTTTGATAAATTTATATTGACTTCGGATTTGTTTATGAATCTCAATTTGGTGTAACTGAATAGTATTTTACATTAAAAATTCTCAGATGGATATTCCTCGGGGTACCTTAAATGTGAATAGACCAGAATTTAGTTACTTTTCAGATGCATCTTAAAGGAGTGAATCAAGATCCGTTTTAATGAAATCATCTTCTTGGTTGTCCAAGAGTAGCTAGATTATTTAAACGTTATGATTTACTAATTTTAAGTGAAGACAGTTGCCGAAAATAAAAAAGGATCTTCATTACTGTATTATTTCACAATACAACTAAATGAATAAAACACTAAATCTTCATTAGAAATTTACCCTTGGTCAGTTATCCTGAAAACAGGATAATTTAAATAATTGATCAGTAGTAAATGAACTTTATGTTACATTAAGAAATAGAGTAAATTGAGGAAGAAACATTATTTATTCACATTTAAGCGCTATTATTTAATATACAAAAAGCTTTTTTATCAATATGCCTTCTAATATAAACGTTATGCATGTAACAAAGTGCAAACCTTTTAAGTTTGCTAGAAACATTCTGTGTTTATTAAGAGGATTTTTGTCGCATATCGTACAATTTGCAGATGATTTTAGCACAAATAGATATCAGCTGAGTAATCAGAGAAGATAAAAGAGATACTGGGCAAATTTTTTGATTCAGTTTAGGCAAGTTATAGTAGTATGTAATCATGATTACCCTAATGATCAAATCCAGAGCTTTTAGGTCTCGGGATGAGGAAAGTATGTGGAAATAGTTTAATTAGAATCTAATGATTCATATATATCGCGTCATTTCATGTTATACAGCTATGCACACTAATTATCTTTCATTTTGCTGATTAAAAGTTCAAAATTTGAACGAAAATCTTGTATTTTATTCCTTGCACTCAGTTCGCCATTTATCTAAAATTGAAATTTTTATGCATTACATCTACTTATCTCATGAGACATATCTTTACCTCATTATCTGATAAATGGGATAAAATGTTTAGACATGATATATGATCTGAATAATTTTTTAATAGGCTATGATATCAGATGAGTAGTCATGGAAATTTAAGCAGTAACTGTAAGGTTCTTTTTCCTCCTGATCGAAAAGATAATAATAGTCATAATCAATTGTTTTTAAGATACATTATTTACTTATTTTTATTTATTTAAACGCATAAATATTGGTACAAAGGAGCACCAGATATATATACGCCACACAAATCTCGTTTGATTTGTGTGAGGGCTGTGATGCTTCCCGGGTGCGCAAACCGAAGATAAATACCAACTATTTAACAAAATAATTTATTTAAATATAAAGTAGTTTCGCGGAACCTTTACACAATATAAAAGTAATTTGTATCACGAAATATCTATTAAAAACTATATAATACCTAATAATTAGTTCAGAGCTACACATCATTACTGAGTTCATTTCCAAGTACGATCATTAATGGACATTCTTGATGATTCTAAACGAAGATATAAACAGATATCTAATATTTCCATACATTATTCAATTCACGATCACATATAGTTACTTTTAATAACCTCTATCAGGTTAAACTATTTTCTGAAATAACTGATATTGTTAACTAATAACATCACTAAGAAAGAAAATACTCGCACAAGAAATAGAAGTATTGACGAACGAAAAGAAACCTAAGGAGATCAAGGCTAAAACATGTGATTCATTAATACAGTACATACTTTTAAACAATAATAAGATCATAGTTTAGTCTGGAATACGGAAAGAAAAATATCAATGAAAGTAGATCAATCAATGTGACAAAAAGTATATAACTAAGATAACGACAGTAATAAAATAGAAAAAAATAATAACAGAATAATGTAGTTTCTTACATAATTTATTTCTGAAACATTAAAATTTATGATCGATAATCAGGTAGAGAATTCTGTATAAACTTAGGTATATACTTAGTTGATATTCAACTTTATTTTGTTTAATTAACAATATTGGTTGTTACAAAATATTATTATGGTTTATGTATATATTATGCAGATAATTAAATTTTCACGGTTCACTAAATATACCTTACGTTCACGAATATTACATGAGAAGTTTCGAAAAGAATTGCTATGTGGACTGAAATAGCCAAACTGTCTTCGTTAGAAGTATGCTATTTCTTATTTTCAATAATCAAATCGTATTAAAGTATAGAAATGTAACTAATAATTTCTCAAAAAACTGACATTTTACCCAGAAATCCTGACACCTACTTATAATGCATTAACCGTATAGTCTTTTTAGGTGAAAATATTTTTAAAAAATCCCTGGATGTTATGACTAAAACCTAATATCAGTAGGCCAACGAAAGATTTGTCACGAGCAATATTTGAGTGTTAAAAACATCCGTATAGTGAGCAATCAATTATTATGGATCACTCCACGACTTTTATATATAGAATTTAAAGACGTATAACACTAGAAAACTTTGAATACATGAGGTGATGGATTCGAGGAAAATTACTTGTTAGTATTAAAAACGCCATGTGCCTAAAACTCAAATTAAAAGTAGTTTGCACTATATGAAAGATGAATTACTGAGTATTTGAACCATTGTTTTTTGACTATGAAGCAAACAGTTAGGTCTTGAAAACGTTAGTAGAGTAACAATACTTAACATGTTTTTGAGTCAATTCTCGCTTATGATTGAATCTCGAAAAAAATAATACTGAAGAGCAGATTAGCCAATGAAATGTTTAGATCTACACAAACTGAAGCAACATGGTGATATGTTATACGCAACAAGTTACAGCCTATCTTGACGTGGTTTACCAGCTGGAGTGGCATCAGGTTAGAAAACATCGAATGGTGAGTAGATGAGGCATCGTTTGGCTAAGTCGCTAACTGTTTATTTGATAGACGAGGAGAGATACATTAAATTGGTAGGCTCATTGTGATGATAGAAACCAAAGGTTTGACACCAAGTGTGACATGAGTTTAAGCCTATCTCAATGAACCAAACGCATATCCTATTTAAATGCTTATTTTTCTACGCTACACTTCGCGATTCATTTCGTTTATATCCAAATATGTTACCCTTTATGTGCTGTCCCTACAGCGAACAACTTAAACCCAAAATGCATTATGCATTCACTCTCCATTTTCGTCTATGTGCACATAATTGTGGTGGAGAATTTGTGTGTGATGCATATCTTATTTTATAGTCCATGTTACGAAATAACTCTGCTACGTGGATCCAACAACAAGAGACTTACAAAATAAGTACACGCTGTGCTCCAGTGACTCTTTAAACTAGCCTCCAGCAGTTCTGAGTACAATGACAACTCAAAAATCTTTCTCTACTCTAAGTGACGGTAATGCTGTGTGAATTCTGAAGGTCCTATGACGAATTCTGTACTACCCTTGATAATTAGCTACTAAGAAACGACTCATATTTGAGACACAGTTTTAAATTTTAGAGTGTATATTCAGTGTACTTATCCAACACCATTTTTCGGACTTATTTTTATGTGACTGTCTACATTCACACGCCTAAGGGTTATTTTTAATTAACCACGGACCTATTATTAAGTTTTCCTTCACTTATAACGTACTCACATACACATAATATAACCCCCTATTTATATTTCTACGTAGTCAGTTATTTACTATATACTGTCACAAGATTTTAGAGTTACGGTTGTGCGGTACTTACTATGTTCGAGTTCTATCTGCCTATTAGACTGAAGGCGAAACTAGACCCTAGACCAATAAAGGTTAATATATTTACGGTTATTGAGTTATTCGTCGACAGATTATTGTGGCGTTGGCTAAATTTATTGACAAATATAAGAAAACTAAAGTAAACAAAGCGGATGTGACTACAATCAATAAACAGCCAATATTTGTAAATCTCAACATCAAAGTTCATGACGTCGCAAGTACAATCAACAGGAGGCTTAACACTCTATCAGCCAGGACTTACCCTGAAGCCCGAAACTATTAATTCTGTATAAAACATGTTTAGTAACCCAGTCAAAGGTCGACAATCACCCCTTTCGCGCTACTGTTAACTGTGTCTACAAATTTACGTGTACTTGTCAAAACTGCCACATTGGTCGTGCAGAAAGATCATATCTTGGATATTTTTAAACATGTCCCGAAGAGCCTTCGGATAAGAGAAAGAACTACTTTAAATAGCGCAACCACTAAACATATCTTAGACGCAGGATATCAGATCGATACATTGCAATCTTTTAAGGTGACTAATAAACACCCGAGCTTCAGTCATCTAAAGTTTGCTGAGGCCATTGCTATCAGGTGTCAGGAACCTGATTTATGTGTTCTAAAGAAGACAGTTGTTAATCATTATTTGCTCTGATGACAAATATCCTTCCATGAAATCATAAAATTTTGTTCATTCCTTTCTTTCAGTTAATGATATCATTACACCTTTTTATTTTGAGCGTCTTTTAGATTAAGTCATTTTATTGTACCTAACTTCTATTCTACTAAGATCTTTCTTTTTGTTCTCGTTACAAGATGATAAAGTGAGCTATGTTAGTAGTATCTTATTTCAGTCAGTTTACTGTCAAGAAATGACAATGTATCTCATGTCTATTTTCATGAAATGATAAAATCTTCACAATAATTGTATTAAAGCAATCATTACAATTTGAAGTTTATTTAATCACACGCATACATAATGTGATGTTAATCCTGTGTATATATACATGACCAATTAACTACTATTCTGCTGATAGTCACATACTTATGCATACAGGAAACTAAAGAAATTATTCACTCGAATTGGTAACATACATAAAAATAAAAATATATATATATATACATATAAGTAGAAATGGAGCCCATTGTAGATTACTAGTCGAAATAATCTGATAAATCAATGTCTGGGTCAAGAAGACGATCTTCTAAATTAGTCAAATCAATTTGATTTAAAATTAAATTTTCTAAAGTTTCTTCTAAATCAGTCTCTCCAATTAATATTGCGCCTTGCATACGACCTGATTGCATGATACATTTGATGAATTCTCGTCCACGTGTAACACGCATTAAAAGATAAGTATCTGGTGCGGATAGATCCATACCCTGACCGTTGAAACGACCCAAGAGAACAATCTGAAAGGAAAAGAACGAGCGGGAACTTTCAAATGACGGAAAGCGTGGTAAAAAAACATTGATAATTCATGAGGATATATATATATATACCTATGAAATTCTACACGACAAATTAAGTTTGATTATTAGCAACCAATAGCGAAACATACTAACCTATTAGAAAGAGATCATATTTTTTAGCATTTAAATTGGTATGTTTCTATGTAATTTAACTAACCAGAGCCCAAAGAACCTAAAAACACTAAAAGCTTTATTCATCTTTACTACGTACAGGTTTATGTACTCAAATTTGAAGTAGTTGTATAGAGCCCAGTGATACTTTAGTGACCCGTTAATCTGACTTCGATTTGATCGTTTGATGCTGTTAATGACACATAAACGCCGCCTACCCTTGTACGTTATTATCGACTTAATTTGTGTTAGAGAATAACGAAATAAAATAAGTCAAATATGAGGATGAATTTCCGATACGCATCTTCCATATACTCATTACCCCAAACACACAGTAAGAGAAATAAAGCAGAGAAGTAGACCGGAGAAGGTAAACATGCCAACTCAATGTGATAAAGCGTGATCCAATATTTATAGCCAGACAAAATTAAACTAAAGATATGTGATGAGCCGATCAAGCGATATATACACATACGTTCATATAAAAACAACTCAGGTTAATAAGCAAATAATTAACAAGGTCGAAATGTAACTCAAGGAGAATAAATAAATGAGTCTGTCAGGAGCCCGGAATAACCCATGCGGGCTTGACATAGTGCTAGACGCTACAAAATCAACAGGCTTCCCAAACTATAACAGGTAAAGCAAGGTTCGAACCATCAACCTACTGGCAAAAACCATCGTGCCACTGCTTCACTTATCCAATCATGTAGGCGATTGAGATGACAGTGAACAAAATATTCAAAAATGGAATAGATATAACGACAGAACAAGAATATTTTCATTTACCACGACATGATGCCATAATACGGTTACATGACCTATAATCGAGACTACAATACCAATAAACTGGACACTCGATCGATGCGCAAAACACAAATTAGAATCACGTTATACTAGATATATGAATCGCGACCAAATATAGATAGAATCAGAGTATAGGCCAGACAATAGATTTGACACAAATACTAGCAGTTCACACACATACTGCAAGTTCAGAGTAAAATTCAATAAAAGAAACGAACTCAAACATTGATCAGTTAGTAAGTCGAATGTTTGCCCGTCTTCGCTCAATGACATATCAAATCTTACTTTCACTGACAACAGGTCAGAAACATATGGCTTAAGTCAACGGTCTGTTGATTGGAGTTATTATACTTCGTGAAGAGCAAACAGAAGGGCGATCAGAAAAAAGAAGATACAAATAATATCAATAAGAATAACCATTATACTAATAATAGTAATAAAAAGGAAAGATACAAGGAAAAGCTAATCTTTTTACAAAGAGTAGAAACAGTGAAATCATGAAGAATTCATCCAGTACACAACCAGATATGGAACGCAGATGAGTTTATAATCGCTATGATCTACTTTGAATTCCTGATATGACGAGATAAGAAAATGACATTATTCAGGTCAATACTTTTCGTATCAATTCATTGTGAGTTCCGGTCATGGTGAAAGGTGTGAGCTTCGTCCACTGCGACATTTTGAGGTCACTATATTCTTGTTTCAATTCGGTATAAACTTCGTTCCATATAACAAGTGTGAACTCTTGTTCACTATAACAATATCATTCCCTGTGTTAATTCTGATGAAGTATATTTAGTGTGTTTTAATGGTGATTGTATGTATTCCCCCATGTGATACTACTGAATGCGTGTGAAATTTAATGCATGAATGATTGTAATGTAGTCTAAAGATAATGTGATTTTAAGACCTGTTTGGAGACGTGTTTCTAGGGTCTCAGAAAATCTTCACTGCACCAGTCTTTCATTTTCTCAATTTGTGTCGTGGGAATTGTAGTGGCTCCCATTTCCTAGCAAAAGCTCCGTGAATTGCAGTGGTCTCCAATTGCCACTGAGGACTCGACAGTGTCGATGCGCACATAGCAGCGATGACTCCCCTGATATGACAGTTGGCTACACAGTTACAACAGTCCTGACGGACCCAATTTCCCAGCTATAACAGTGGTAATCCGGAAATAACAGCTTTACATACCGATTTCAGTACAATCTTATTCAGTAAGGTCACTTACAATAAGATTCAAGAGCAATAAGACGAATTGTCGTGACTACATAATCAAACAAAGTAAAACAAACCAAAATTCGATTACTAATAATGGTGATTCAGATATAAGCAACTGGTTCGAAACGAAACAAGTCACCTAAAAAAACATGCGACATTGTTCAATTTTGAGTATTTGTTAACTAACATTTACTGTTCATCTTGCATGCAAAATGAACATGAGTATTTTATTACATCCAGTAGTTGTTCGTGACAAACAAACACGCACATGAAAAACGGAAAAATGAAACTGTGAAGTGAAAAATATTCACTGTAAACGTTTATACTACAATATACATTGTCTAGTATCAAAAATAACTCACCTTAAATCCAAAAAAGTAAGTCACATGAGTGAAAAGTTCGAAAGAAAAATCCAGTGGGATATTGTGGTCTCCTCGACTTTGACAAAACATAGACTTGGCAGCCTAAAGGTACAAAATACCAAAATTAGCGTAAAAAACTTGGGAATCAAATATTGAAATTTACGGTATTGTAAGAGCGCACTCCTCTTAAATTTATTTATTATTTATTTAAACACATAAATATTCGTACAAAGGCGCACCCAATACATGCGCGCCACACAGATCTCATTTGATTCGTGTGAGGGCTGGGATACTGCCCAAGTGCCCAAACTGAAGCAGGTGGTTTTCTTAGGAGGCCACACCCCGAGCCTTTGACCTAAAGGTCTTATTCACAAGGCAGTGGAGAATCATAAGGAGATGCAGTCCCATGGTAGCCTGTGACCAACAATTTATTCATACGCCATTTGTTCCCTCAGGATACTGGAGCCCACGTGCACCATTGGTTTGGAATCAGGGTTTTCCAACTCCCCTAGGTGGACTATCCGTGTCCACCAACCCAGCGCCAAACATTCTCTTTCAGTTCTCTCAATTTCGTAAATAACATACTCCTCTTAAGTAGGTTAGAAATACTTCCAGACCAAAAACTAATGAAGACGACCTACTTTTGTTCAATTATTTATTTTTGTATTCTACCCAATGAAGTAGTACATTTAACTAACGTAGATCCAAAAAGTTACAGATGTGCAAGGAAAAACGGTGTAAAGGTGTAATACCACTTTTAATCGTGAATTGACAAACGTCTAGCAACGTTCGACGTCCTCTTTACTTTTCACACTACTTTTAAGCAGCTAAGTAGTATTGGATACGCGGAAACGACCGTCCTCAAAGATCGAAAAGAAATTTCCACAAAACCCCTTCTGATCGAAAAGATCATATTGATAAATGATCCACTTTAAAAACATTCAAGCAAGTTTGTTGTAATTTTATGTCCGGCTTTCATCACGTGATTTATTCACCAATCGAAATACAACTTTCCCAATCTTAGCACTGTGCCAAATCAATAACATTCGATCGGTATGAGTAGTCTAGCGTCCTTATTGGTCTCTTATCCGCCTAGCCCTTCCAGTTGAGTCCAGAACACCAATTACAGCTTCTGATATGCGAATCCTTTATTTCAAGCATACTCTGTTTATATACCAAACAGATAGACCGCATCACACCATAAAATAGTAAATAATATTTGTACAAGATTAGGCCAAATGTGGCTGTGAACGTGGGAGACAATAAGCAATAAACTAAATATAATTTGGGGACAGTAAATCGCATAATAATAATTTATAGGTCAAAATAAAGCTTATAATAAGATGAATATATATAGATTAAATTTAATCACTGAATAGTCATACAATAATAATATATAGAGAGAATAATAATCTATTAATAGGTCCCGGAAGTTACCCGTACTTATGTCTTCACTAGGATATAACAAAGTTCTCTAAAGAAACAACTTTAAAAGGTGCAACTCATCAAACTGAACAGAAATTTACAAAGAATCTTTAGAAAGGTGAATCGATTATCAGGAATAGATAAATGAATGTTATTAAATATTTTAAGCAAATTATTCTTTTCACATTCAAGAACACTAATAACTTAACGTTTCTAAATGTCCAACTAACAAGAAAAGCAGATGGGACGTTAAAAAGAGAGATATAAACAAAGCCTACAGTTGGACAATATACTCATTTCTATACTCTGTACCGATCAGATACAAAAGGAATTTAGTAACGATCCCGACTCATCGTGCTAGAATGATTTGCTCTGATGACATCGTTGTAGATTAATTGAATAATATTTGTAACCTGCTTAGAAGGAATGGATATCCGATGAAATTCCCCAACAAACACATGAATGTGATGAAAAGAAGACCAAATGTATCTACCGTTCCGAAGAAAGTATTGTTCTTAAAATTACAATTTCTAAGTGATGTTACCAGAGAAATTGTGACTCAAAGGTTAAGAAAGGAGGTAAAAAAAACATTTGCTGCAGCCAGACTGAATGCCATTTTCTACAACTGCCCCATAATAAGAACCGTTACTAATGACAAACTATCTAAATTCGCTACATCTGTGTACTTACCAATTCAACTACTCCTGTGAAACCAGCTATACAGGGCGTACAATTCGACAAGTCCGTCATTGCATAGCAGAACACTATTTGTCTTGGTTGAGTAAAGAATAGGTAAGAGTGATTACGAGTTCTATTCTTTAGCACTTGGTGGACACAGATCATCAAGTTGACTTGAATAAAACTTTCAAGGTTATCCACCATATTCCATCAAACTTACCACATGGTTACGAGTTCGTCTTTTGCACACTCAGAAAGCTATCGGAATCCATAATCACAAACCCAACCTTCGCATTCGAAAGACGTTTGCACAATCACTTTCGCTACCTTGGCTACCGGCATAGGAAAACGTTTTTAGCTGAACTTTGACCAAACCCTTTCCTTCAAATATTTAAACAATATTTTAATTTCATCCGCTTTTGTATTTTAAATATTGTCAATATTCGTCTCTTAATTCTTACATAAGATTATAATTACACTGGAATCACAGGTAAGTGTAGAATTTCATATGCTCAGTGTTTAGCCAAGGAGAAGAGCGGACAGCTCTCTACAAAGACCAATATATGTAAAGTCAAAATGGAATAGACAATATACGAACTTCCAAAGCTAGGTTCCATTGAGTAGGAAGATAAACCCAACGCGTTTCCTATTTTCGAAAGCTAGAAGAGTTTGCACCAAAGATGAAGGATCGAAGAAATCTAACAAATGCTTATAGAAAATTAATTTTCTCTCATACTGATTGACAGCGACATGAAACTGAAATACCTAACTGAAAGAACCGCTACTGCACCAAAGATTTTATTCAGGATCTAAAGTTTCAAATCCACAAGTAACAATATTTATTTACAAAAATGACTGTTTTTTGAAAAGTTACAATAACATTAGTTTAGAACCGAACAAGAACTAAGTCAATAACAACTTGTAGCTGACAATAAAAAGTAATCATAAAACTTTATTTCTAAAAGCCAAACTTTCTATTTTATGGGTTAATGTCATCTGACTACAAATAATTCATATTACAACATAATAAGGTATAGAATAAAATCCTACGTTTATTATGGTATACAAAATAAATTGTAGAAGATGTGAACAATAATTATACAATTTCATCTGTGAACTAGAATTTCGTTTAGGGAAAAATCACCCAGAATTAAATTCACATAAAATTAAAACAATATAAAATAGTTGAACTCTAACGTTTTATTGAAATTATGAACTGATCAATGTAAAGCCGCCATTGAAAACCTGGAAGCACTGGACGGTCTTTTTGTCCTAGCGTTGGACTCCTCAACAGTGCGCATCCACGATCCCGAAACCAGGACATGATCCCAGGACCTCTGGTTTCATGGGAACATTTAAACTCTAGACCACTGTGCCGGTATCAAACGGTGTTGCTGTTTAACTTCGAACAATCTACGACATTTTATCCCATTAAGATCATAACAAATACCATGATCAGAAGTTCATAGAAGACACAAACAGAAAATGAAACCATGAGAAAATCCAGAAAAATTCAATACTATTAACTCATTCTTGTAGGGCTTATTTTCAAAATGTACAATTTGTCATGATTTTCAATCCAGCAAGTGATTAATGGATTCCTTAGTAAAATTGCATTACACTTAAACAAAATTATTAACATCATACTCTAAAAGATTTGAACAATTGCACATACAGTTTTACGTATACAGAAATATCATAAATAAACGAACAACATAACATATATTTGTATACAGATAACAATGAGAACTCACTTGAAATCCCATTTGTCTAGCTTGACTCCATAATTTCATTTGAAACCAATGTGGAGACCATGTCCAATTGGCACATGCACAGTCTCCAGCTGCATACACATCTTTCCAACTTGTTTCCATTTGTTCATTTACTAACAGACCACCACCATGTTCCATAGGGGCGCAACGAAACAAGGCATCCAAGTTAGATGACTCTGTTATTTCAGTTCCTTTATTATTAATATTATTAGTATTACCATCATTATGAGTAGTATTATCCACGTTGCTAGGATGTCTGTTTAATGGTTTTAAATTTGCTTCAACGCCAACTGCACTTACAACTAAATCACATCCATAAATTTCACCATTTGTTAACTCTACATAAACTGGCCAATCATTAACGGATGACACATTATCATTGGACTTGTCCGTAAAAGGCAGGGTTTCTAATCTACTTAAGTCATGAAATTCTTTTGGAGATAAAAACTGTTTAATTTTAGTTTGATAAACTACCTGTAAGAAGTAATTAAATGAAGTAGATATACGTGATAAATTTTCCAAATTATAAATAATATTTTAACCTGTTTATTTTAACAAATAGTTTTATGATTACAAGTATATATATAGACAAGTTTTGATCGAAAAAGAGGACTTCTTAATAGATGATATTCATAGTGGAAAAAAAACAACTCGTGCTAACCGTCAACTACCTAACTTAACATTAATGTAACTTTATTAACATATAGATAATTACGTATTGAGTTTAAGATGTGAGTATATTTATCGCCACATAAAAGTTATCTACTTATTTAATCAAGTTGTATGTATCAGATGTAAAAGCAGTTAAATAAAATGGATTCTTAATCCTCAAATATTGCTCTAATTGTATCATTCAATATGCATTTCTACAACATAGTAAAACATGAAACCATAGAAATTCAATTGAGTAATTTATAGCTAGTAAAATGGACACATATTAAGTATATAATACTGACGAATGCATACTTTAAGTAGTTTACCATCGACTGTATTGACAAGTCGCCCATGTAATTTGCGCCCATACGCCCAATCTGGACCTGGAGCAGCACCAGCAACTGATGATTTACTGATATCCAATTTGTACGGCTGCTGTTGATCAGGAACAAGCATAAGGTGATCTGCAGTTTTTGGGATATCCTCTGATTGGCCATCCTCAGCCACAATATAACGCATGCGTCTGATTTGTGTATCCTCTGAGATTTTATCTCCAGATGGTTTGGAACTGATTTTGGTTTTTTTCTCGACATAATCGTTTTGCTTTGACATTTCTCTTGCTTCTAATAAAAATGTGGCAGCCACTGAATCAAGAAATGGTGTGCTAATGCTACTGTCTTTGATAACCCAAATAATTTGACAACCAGAGACTTCATGTGCAATCTCCGTTGCTATACCTCCGTTCCCAACTAACACCATACGACGGGTGCCTAAGTAGAAAAGACAGAATGAACAGATGTACCATAATTTTTGTGATGATTCATAATGGATTTCTAGCCACTAAACATTGAACTTGAAACTCCCATAAACCGGACTGGTAAGGAAACAAGCAAAGATGAAAATGAAAAATGGGAAACAATACCTAGTCAATGTGTGTCATTTCTCGAGATACCTAGAACACCAAATGGATAGTTAAAAATCTAAAATCACTAATTTATCAAATAAATCAAGCTTTTAACATCTGAAGACATGACAAAAAAGACCAAGTTAATGATCTAATATTCCTATAAAATTCCAAAATTCTAAGTTTTTTTATGATTATTAAAGATATATATGAACCTAAAACAATCGACACAATAACTTGAGATCAAAATACTCTAAACTTCATTGACTCTATCGTGGCTGTACAGGACTGACTTCTTCTGGTCCTTCATAAGTCCCTGGTTGAGGTCCTAGAGATGGCGCAATACAATGGCTAGAGTTATCAGATATGGCTCACAATGGAAGCTAGTGGTGATTCAGTGACAAATTTCTTTTACTTTCTAGTTATATTTTTCCTAACTGAACTATTTCTCCCATTATTATTATTATTATTATTATTATTATTATTATTTCACTCTCATACACAGTTATAACTGGTTATAGATATATTTCTCCTTATTACGACCCAGCTATTCCTATTGCTTAGTAATCTTGGACACCAATACACTCGACAATTCCCAAAATCAGAACACAATTGAACAGGGAAGAAATTATATTCCGAATAACAAGGATAGATGGAAATAAGAAGCGCAATAAGAAATACGTTAGTATATTTATAGTTTTTACATGAGTAGATTCTAAAGTCTTCTCCAAGCATCGACTAGAGCTGATTAGATGAGAATTGACCGATCAGCGTGCAGCAAAACAATCGTGCATGGAACATGCTTTAATACAATCTATGTCACGCTAACACCTCCCCTTTGGGCAGATCCGTAGGATATGGTGACCCACCGTGAACAATCGTCTTTGTGCCCCATGGTGTCGATTGAACTGCCTCTCCATCGATACGTTTTGTTGAGGCTCAAGAGTTGGCGTCGGACGGATGACATCGAAATATGTTCGTATTTTTCTGCTAAGTACAGCTTCTGCTGGAGAACCCGTTAATCATCTGAGAGTTCGGTGTAGAGCGATAAATAAGCAGGAACCTCTCTAAGATCTCTTCGGTGATACCCTCCCCTTTATATTTTTTCAGAGCATTTTTAAACGTACTGACAAAGCCTTCCACTTGACCATTAGATTGGGGATGAAATGGAGGTGTTCGGACATGATTTATTCCTTCCTGACGACAAAATCCTGAGGAGATAAAAGACGTAATCTGTGTTCCATTGTCGCTAACTATCAATTCTGGGACCCCGAAACGACTGAATAATTGCCGCAATTTTCTAACTGTGCAGCTTGCGTTGGATGTTCCATGATGAAAATTTCCGGCCACTTGCTGTATGCATCAACCACCAGAAGGTAAGTTTGTCCATGGAATGGACCAGCGAAGTCTAAATGTATGCACTGCCACGGTGACTGTGATATTGGCCATGATTGCAACTCTGCTTTTCGCGGTACTGTTGTTGCCAATGCACATTTTGTACACGAACGGGACAGCTGCTCCAGTTGGGCATCTAATTGTGGCCAATTTACATAACTTCGTGCTAGCGCTTTCATACGATTGATTCTAGTATGTCCTGTGTACAACTGTTCAAACACTGTTAGTTGCAATTTCTTTGGAATTATGGCACATTCGGAAAACAAAACTCAGTCATGGATGATTGAGAGAGATAGTCTGCGCTGACAAGACTGCTGAAGCTCCGAGGAGCTGGTGATTAATCTAGCAGCATGAGCAATTATCTTTTCTGATTTGTCCGGAAACATGTGAGATATCACTGCTCCAACTCCATGACTGGAGACATCAGATGCAACAACAATTCCCAAGCTGGGATCGAAGTGTGTCAAAAGAAGCTTTAAGCTGAGCATCGATTTGAATTTGTCAAAAGATGTTTGGCATCCTGCTGACCACTGCTAGAGTTCGCCTTTTGACAGCAATTCATTCAGGGGACCTCTCACTCAATGCATTTCAGGCAGAAATGTGCTGTAATGACTAGTTAATTTCAAGAAGGATCTTAATGGGCGAACATCATTTGGTGCAGACATCTTCCGAACTGTTTCTATGTTGGCAGGGTCTGGCCCGCGACCGTTCTTATCTAAGATCAAACCAATGTATTTGATCGAATGCATGAAGAAGATACACTTTTCATCACTTAGTAGGAAAACATGCCTCATCACTTGGTTAAGAACTTGATGTAGTCGATCAAAAAGTTCACTGTCAGTTGAACCCATAACTTTGATATCATCTAGATAAGCTGCTGTTTCAGGTATACCTGATAATACCGTATCCATTATTTGTTGAAAGATGGCAAGTGCGGTTCTAATGTCAAATGGTAGGTGGATATATTGAAATAACCCTCGATGAATGTTGATAGTCGGAAGCTCTCTACAATTGTTATCTACTTCAACTTGCAGATAGGCATCGAAGAAGTATATTTTCGCGAAACATGTTCCATCATTAAGCTTAGCACACAGGTCTTCAGGAACTTGTAATGGATACTGATATGCATCTAATGCAGTGTTTAAACCGGTTGAGAAATCGGCACATATGCGTATAGTTTTATCGACCTTCTTAATCATTACGACTGGTGCGGCACATGAAAAATAGTTGACTGGTTGGATTACAGCAGCTTGTTTCAAATGATTAAGTTCCTGATCGACTTGTTCAAGAGCACAATATAACACAGGACGTCTCGGACGAAAAATAGGTTTGGCATCTAGTTCCGTTGGTAAATGAGCTTTCATCTTAATGCAGTGACCAAGGCCATTCTCAAAAACAGAGACAACTTTTCACCTGTCTTCTTCGTAGGTATCGAGTTGTCCAATGATGAACCCGGCACTTTACAGACACTGTTAACGAGTATATCCATTGTTCAAAGTTTTTTTTACATAACTAGACCAAGAAGATCAAGGGCTGGTCGTTCGGTTAGATAGCATATTCCTTAGGGTAACATGGTGGTTGGAGGTGGTCAACAGGAAACCCTGGACCCGGGTTTCGTGCTACTTGGCACTCGTCAGCAAGGTGTACCTGTAATCTTGAGGGAACTGATGCTCCCTGGCGGATTCGATCCCGCGTCACTCAGCTTAACAGTCAGAGTGACGCGGGATCGAATCCGCCAGGGAGCATCAGTTCCCTCAAGATTACAGGTACACCTTGCTGACGAGTGCCAAGTAGCACGAAACCCGGGTCCAGGGTTTCCTGTTGACCACCTCCAACCACCATGTTACCCTAATATATATAGTGCCCGCAGTGTCGAGCCACCTAGACTGGTGGCCACATTACAACTTGATCGATAGCATTCGATCAGCACTAAGGACCTGACACGCATGAGATTGATCACCACCCAGTGATCAATCAATTGTGATTAGCATATTCCTCTATAGTTTTAGCACTCCTCCTGATGTGTTTTAGCAGTCTTCTTAGATGACTTCATGGGCGGTTTCCAAGCGAATTGCACGTTTCTCTAGACAATAGGGTGATATGTCCACGTCTGCTGCATATCTGACATTTATGCTTCTTAAATGGACAGAATCGTACGTAATGCCAATCACCACATAACGAACATGCAGTCATTGGTTTGTTATGAGTTGTTCTCGGCTTCTGAGATTTTAACCTAGTAACAGCATTGACACTACTGCATGTTAAATTAGGATTTACCTGTTCGATCAACACGTCGTGTCTGATGTTCTGTAGCCCTATACACTCATCTGTCAGTATCCTGAGTGTGACGTTTGGATCTTGATCCAGTCGAGTTAAAAATCTAGTCCTGATCTCAGCATCTTGTTGTGACTGAAGAACTTTGATGAATTTTAGGCATTTAAATTGGTCTTCTGTCAATGAGCGTAACTTGAACCGTTCACACTCTCTGTTGACGACGTCTGCTAGAGTACCACATTCATCGGCTTCACGTTTCACCAAATTTAGACACTGATATAGAATTCTAAACAATGAGGATGATTCAACGAATATCTCAGATAATTGAATTACCGTCTCCTTAAAACTGAGCTCTCGAGGTAACTTTGGCAATATATGGCCACTGTAGCGTGCATGCTCATTAATTCATAACCTACATATTAGCAATTGAGTCTTCCACGCGTTACCTTGTTTACAGAATCCTATTCTTCTGACAACCGCATTTGTGCATCAAGTTGTGCTTGCTGTTGTTGTAGTATTAGGTTGAGCTGGTCATCTGATATCGGCATCTTGAATATGTTTTCCTTTTTCTTCATTGCCACTGTTATAATTTCTCTTTTTGCGACCCAGGTACTCCTATTACTTAGTATTCTTGGACACTACTTCACTTAACAAGTCCCCAAATCAGAACACGGTTGAACAGGAACGTAATTATATTACAAATAACAAGGTTGAATGAAAGTAGGAATCACAATACGAAAAACATTAGTATGTTTATGGTTTTTATATAACAAGATTCTAGAGTCTTCTGCAAGTATCCGCTGGAGTTGATTGGTTAGAAATAGGCAATTAGCATTCCCCAACAATCCCACAAGGAACCTATTTTAATATAATTTATATCCCTTTGACAACTTTTATCCATATGTTGATGTTTACTCTGAGACTCGACCAGTTGGATAATTTCTGAAATCCATTTAGTTGAGACCTGGGGAAGTACACCGTCAAATAAATTATCAGTTCAGTTATCCCGATCAAATTCAATAATCGTATCAATTTATCTAACAGCTACCACAAAAACTACTTCCTTATTTTGTTGACTGTAACAGATGATGATCTTGCCATGATAATTGAAATAGCCCTCACGGGGTGTTTCAGGTAATTAACCTCGCAAGATCAAGTGAATTAATGAATAAACACTAATAGTGTAATGATAGTGTAATGAAAAGATGAAGTTTACCAGAAAAATGAAAATTAAACTAGACCAATAGAAGGTAAGAGGGAAAAAACATAATGAAAGAAATAATGTGGTGTGTTACAGATTATTTTTCACATTGTCTTGGTTATTATCTTTGTTTCTTCTTACCCTCCATTTTCTGGTTGATTTTTCATTTTTTTACATAAGTGCTTTTAACAAATAAATGTGTTATCAGATTTTTTGAAATGTATTGCGTTAACATATCACATAGTCCTGACAAGCTTCATCTTATTGCACTATCTAAATTTATTAAAGGAATGAGTTTTTTGAGTCAGTGAGATAAGCAATTTGTTAGAAAGTGTAGAACATCCTAACAAGCTATGACGATCAAGTCCCACAAATTAATTGGATAAAAAATAAAAACTGGGAAAAATTCAATACCTCATAATATATCAACTTTTAGGGTGCAGATAAATAGTCCAAAGGCATCTAAATCAGAGTAAAATGAACAATGCTAACACAGCTACATAGATCTTAAAAAATCAGCAACACGACTCGTACGTTTAATTGCACAATAAAAACTATTGTAATGCTCAAACACTACTTATTACAATCAAACTCAATGTATATGTACATTATTTAGGAATGATCAGTCAGTTGCAGGAAGGCCTAGAATGTAGATCGAATATGTCTCACTGCTGGTCAGTTGTTGTAAAATAATTTCTTTATGTCAGTCTCCTCAAACAATAAGATTAAATCACTTATATTATACGAACGATGACAACATTAATACACGCGGAGTAATTTAGCATAATCTATTAAAAACTATGTGCTTACCCAGTAGACGGTGTTGAAATGTTTTGATACTCTCTGTATCCCTTAGACCAATAACATATGGATGCTTCGGATCAATAAGCCGCGGAACACCGCCAGTTGTTAGACATAATTTGTCATAAAAAATCGGATTATCATAACCACGTTGTTGTAAATAAACAGTATGACTGGAAGGACTGAATACAAAAATGTAATAAGAAAATCAAAGTATATGTATGTATATATATGAAGAAAACGACTGAACAGACTACTTAAGACACTGAGATAACGAATTGACATTTTACAAACCAATCGGTTCACATTATCGTCAAAGGCCTCCCTACTTTGTTGTGCTAATACATTGTTTAATTCTGAAATTCTTAACATTGATTCTCGGGTGTAAATTCATGTAATGATTGGTAACAACAAAAAATAAACCAGGACTCGATCGTTAAACCAAGTCGGAAAAGCTACCTCTAATTAAAACAAATATACGAATAATTAATGGATTTTATCAATATTAGACACACACAGGACATAAGTACGGTTACTCACTTAGTCGCAAATGCTGGATCTATGAACTGTCATAATCCATCTATGGAAGTCAGAGTATCCGCCCATCAGCCCTACACGGTGCATCAGTCAGCTACAACGTAAGAGCAGGCACATATATGAATCGGTCTAAGTTGCCACACCTCGTTAGCATAAGATGAACACGGAATTCATAGTAGTTACTTCAATGGTAGTAATACATAAAAGATAGATTGTGTATAAGGATGTAGTACAGAAAGAAAGATATAAAGCAAGTTTAATCTCACGATTTAAGGGGAGACAAAGAGTGTATACACGGTGTATAGATGTAAATGAAACACTAAATCTAAGGGGAAAAGGGAGACTTTTGAACGGTTTTCAATGAATGGTCACCTCTGAATTACTTGAAATACTAGTATTATGTGGACTTAAAAGTATTCCTTGAACAAAGCTTACGAGTCCACTAACTAGAACTCATATGAGATCGAAAACAAATCTTACTGAAAGCCATCAAGTTAACTGCATAAGGCAAAGTAATCATATTAGCAAGGGACTATAATGAACACTACGAGTATCTTAAGGATCTCATAAACACCAAAGATGACTATTTTTCTCTGACAAACACTTGTTCTTAACTAACACAAGGAAAGATACTGTCTGACTAAATAAACGGCAACATTAACTTAGCAATGTATACAAGTAGATTATTCATTGTGGGCCGTTGTTATCAGGGGCAAAGCAAGTGGTTTTCTTAAGTAATCACTCTTTTGGACATCGACCCGTAAGTATACTCAAAAATGTGTTAAAGCGACCTTAAAAGAATCTCTATTTTAGACGGACATCAACATTTTCCCTAAATCTATCATCCGTGTAAAGCAGTTATCACAAACACACACTATACTATTTGTGCTGTAAAAAAGGTAAAGGAATAATGAAAGTTTTGAACTAACCTAAGGCACGAGTGCTCAATCTGTGTCCTAGTGATCTTTATATTCATCTCTGACCGATCAACCCATAAGATCAAAACCCAATATCCCTACATTGGCTAGTTAGTCAGTTATAAATAAGTGTAGTTCCACGTAGCCATTCTCCGTAGTAGTCAACAGCGAGTTTTTGTAATATCTCCTCACAATTAGCCTCCTTGATATGGTAGGATCTTAAGGAACATCTGTTTCAGTTAACAAATATCGACTGGGTCAGACAGGTCATTAAAGAAGAGTCTACAGTCAGGAATTCGGTTTGATCAGTGAGGTACATCATTTGATATTTCTGTAATCTCGTGTCACAACAATGTGTGATGCACACCCTCAACAAATACTAACCATAGAGCAAGATCATAGCTATGGTGAACGCAAAATGGAGAGTGATACATATTCCGAACAAGTTATAATGCCAATCAGTTAAGTTAATAAATATTGGATTAAGCTGCATAAAAAATTCGAATTTATTCCGTTGATGACACTGCAGCATGTACACATGGCCTTGGTTTTATGATAACTCTTTGTTTATTTACATACTCTATTCTAGCAATGCATGCTATTCACTTAACCAATAGGTACACTATTCTACCAAAATGCTCAGAAATATAGTCATTTTATTTTTATTTATTTATTTATTTAATCACATATATTTGGTACAAAGGGCACCGGATACATACGCGCCACACAAAATAATGAGAATAGGAGGAGAAGGAAGATGTGTATATATAAACGAAGGAAAAAAAGAGAAGAGTAATGATGGGAGAGAACTGAAGTGTACAACCAGAACAGCTCTCTCAGTTAAGAAAGTTATAGCCACTCTTTATGAAGAAAGTAAAAGAAGGCTACAGCAGGCTCGCCACTGGCTTCTATTCTGAGCCATATCTGATAACGTCTCTAGCCACTGTGTTGCACGATCTCTCGGACCCCAACCAGGGAGTCATGAAGGACCAACAGAAGCTAGCCCTTTGCAGCTTTCTTTCATACCACGACACCATGTCATACACTGACCACCTCTCCGCTTTTTCCAACCAGTCCCAGAGTCGGCAAATAATGCACGGCGTGGAAGTCTCTGGGACGACATTCGTAGAACATGTCCAAGCCACCGAAGTTGGGGTTTCAAGATGGTGACACCAATCGGATTATCGTCTCTGTGCCCGAACACACGATGCCGAACCTCTGCATTACTAACATGGTGTTGCCACTGTATGTCAGCAATCCTTCGGAGACAACGATGATCGAACACAGAGAGACGTCTAACATCCTCAACTCGGAGAGGCCAGGTTTCACAAGCATACAGCAAAACTGCTCTCACCGACGCGTTGTAGATCCGACCTTTTACAGCCAGACTAACATCACGAGGGCGCCAAAGATGGCCCAGATTGGCATAAGCCGATCTGGCTTTCATTATACGTGCATCAATCTCATCACTCACGCCACCACCAGCACTTATTGTAGCTACCTAGATACACGAACTTCTCAACTACTTCGATCTGCTCACCATCCAGGGTGAGTACAGGATGAGAATCCTGCCAGTCTTGTAGGAGTACCTTGCACTTGGAGGGTGCAAAGCACATATCGTACCTGCGGACACTGATTGCCAACTGATTAAGTGCGGATTGCATGCCTTGGGCATTATCGCACAGTAAGACATTTAATCACTCACAAATAATAAAATAATGTGATTAACATAAAAAAAGGTATATCAAAACCACGGTCCAGCATCAAACTTACATCTCGACACTCTTCTCTAATAAAATGGTTTAACGATTGACATTACTAATACTAGTGACTGATATAAGTATCAAGTAAATAGAACTCACTCTAGTTTTATCATTGTATCACAGATTACGGTCAATGTATCAGGCCATGTTTCTGACCATGAACTACCAGATTTCTCCTCAACATCAAAAGTTTCGATCATATTGCTTATTCGACGTAGATTGACTGTAGTTTTCACAGTTTTAAAAGCCGATATCAGTGCTACACGTTTAGATGCATAGTATAAACGATCTGATGATGACTGGAGAGCCCCAGAAAACCTGCTTGGGTTTAAGAGTTCGCATAATGTTTCAGCACACACAACACCAGCAATCCCACCTCCAATAATAACATAATCAAAGTGATTCGAATCCTTCTCAGTAAAGGTAGAGGACATTTCTACTAAAAAAGCTTAAGTGCCCTAGAAACAAAGTGAAAAATGATGATTAATGAAACCAAACTGTACCTGTCCGTTCAAGTTTAATTAATAACTATGCTATAAACTGTTCACAATCGAAAGAATAAACCTGACTTACAAAGTAACAACAATTACAGTGTGGAATTTCCTAGTAACAATAAAAAACTGATTAGTTGGGAAAGTGAATAAAATATCATTATAATGGTGGTAATAAGCTACAACTGTCAAATAAAAACTAGTAATTTTAACAAACTTTCAAAACCCATTGCAATGAGCCTTTCAATTGTAAAAGCCAAAAAACCCATAGTCATCTGACATGGGGACCCTCGAAACTAACTAGATGGATGCAAACAGATTAGATTATCACCACTTATTAAGGTTTGGTGGAAGACTGGTGCTCGTTCTGCAGTACATTTCTGTTTATTGATTTACTTATTTGAACACATAAATATCCGTACAAATGTGCACCCAATACATGCGCGCCACACAGATCACTTGATTTGTGTGTGGGCTGTGATATTGCCCAGACCGAAGCACGTGGTTTCCTTAGGAGGCCACACCCGGAGCCTTTGACCTAAAGGTCTAATCCACAAAACAATCGAGCAACGTAAGGAGATGCAATCCCATGGTAGCCAGTGACCAACAATTGGTTCGTACGCCATTTGTTCCCCCACGATCCTGGAGCCCATGTGCACCATTGGTTTGGGATCAGGGTTTTCCAACTCCCCTAGGTGGATCCTCCATATTCACCAACCCGGTTAAAGCATCGAACATTCGCTTTTCGTCATCTCAATTTCGTAAACATCTCTGTCAAATCTGATCATGCTGTATTGCGAAAATGCATTCTTGTGTAATACTGGATGAAAAAAACTTCAAGAAATACTCCTAAAGTTCAACTCAGAAGTCGCAAATATATTTAAGGTTCTGAACGTGATAACCAGTGAAGACAACTTACACGCAAAGTGATATAAAATTCTCGCGTGAGATGTGGACGATGAATGGAGAAGAGATGAGAAAGGGAATGAAACATAACAAGACAAATCATCAGATTTATCAAAAAAAGGCAGATATCACAAACTCGTGTTAGTGGTCCGAAAAAGGTGGGACTGTGTTCCGCTCTCATTTCAGTTGATTAGAATGATTAACAGAACACTCAACGGTACGATTTAAAAGGTTTACGGCCACCCTGCAGTTATAATATCTCCAAACAACCCAAAGGGGAAAATGACCCAAGTCGCCAACTTGAGATAGTGAAGAAGACTTGTAGCTCAGATGGATGATTTAGGTGGAGTTTAGTTTTCTGGGCTGGATGGTTTGGTCATGGAGATTTCATTGTTCTTCTAAACAACATCATCAGCACAAACTAAGTAGGAATGAAATGTTCGGATTTTTCTAAATATGACTCACAGCTTGCCTTGTCGACCTCGACAATCCAGCTCAGAGAACAAAACTCCACCTAAGTCTCTAACTCTTAGTAAGGTTAATAAAGCTATAACTAACTTGAAACGAAAGGAAAGAAGCATAACCTAACAGGCTAACTGCATAGATCTTTAGAAATGACAGTGATTAACATTCTGTTGCTTTCCTATAGCTTTTTAACGATTGACTTACTAATAAGTCCACACATCAACCTAAAGTACACAGACAATATAGTCTTACTCGATGGAGACGGTGACGAAATCATGTATGATCACTGGCTGGAGACTTTGAGTGACTCAGATCATAGGGGAGTTGTAATGTTGTAGATGCAGACACTGTTTTTTCCTGAGTCTCGAGCTTTAAAAGTAACTTGAGATTCTTTTATTCCGAGGATTCCCTATTTTTTCCCGAATCAAACTGTTCATAACGTTTTTCACTGCCATTGATACGACTCGGTCAGTCAGCTACAACGTAGGAGCAGGCACATATATGAATCGGTCTAAGTTGCCACACCTCGTTAGCATAAGATGAACACGGAATTCATAGTAGTTACTTCGATGGTAGTAATACATAAAAGATAGATTGTGCATAAGGATATAGTACAGGAAATAAAAATTAGTTGGTAGAAAGGTAGACAGCAATTATAACGTCACAGTTTAAGAGAGACATAGAGCGTATACACCTACGCCATTGTGATCAATTCTGACCTTTATCGTCCAGAGTCTCCAACCACTGATTACGTTAGTCACGTGGACCCCAACCAAGTAGTCTGCATCTACCAACATGGCTCAGACTAGAAGTCAGTGACTTCAAGCACTGATGCCACGTTTTGGTTTGGCCGCCCCTAACTCTTCCAGCCATCCCTGATACTAGTTAGCATAGCGCGTCGTGGTGATCGGTGTTCAGGCATATGTAACACGTGGCCCAACCATCTCAGTCAATGAAGATTCATCACCTCATCAACTGATTTACCCTCATTCCCTAATACCCTTTGTCTAAGCTCACTATTACTTACCCGGTGATCCCAGCAGATGCGAGCAACGTTTCTGAGACATCTGTAGTCAAATACTAGTAACTTACGAGTATCTTCTACTCTTAATGGCTACGTTTCGCAGCCGTAAAGTAGAACAGAGCGAACTGATGCGCAGTATACTCGTCCTTTAATTGATAGACGGATATCTCGCCTTCGCCATGATTGACGTAAGTTAGCAAAAGCCAAACGAGCTTTTTGAATCCATGCAGAGATTTCGTCAGACACCAACCCAGTAGGGCTGATCAGACTTCCAAGATAAGTGAAGTTGTCAACGCATTCGAATACTTCACTGCTTATCCTTACTTCAGATGTTGACACAGGCCAGTCCTGGAGCAACAACTTGCATTTAGATGGGGAGAAATGCATCCCAAACATATGGTATTGTTATTGAGTGCTAGCAAAAGACTCTGCATTTTACCAGCGTCGTCGCCAAACAGGACAATATGATCTGCGTATTCTAAGTCGATAAGTGAACCTTTTGGTAGGAGACCGATTCCTTAAAATTCATTCGATGACTACTTTGATATTTATCTTGAAAACCTTATCTTGCTGCCCTGGTAAGGCGTGGTAACCTAGGCTAATGCATGTGTCAAGTAGTACATTGCTTACGACTAACTGATCAGTGAAATTAGTTTACATTTCTAGACTATTTACTCGCCTATCGATTTCAGTACAAGTTTTGTGAATGTTCATACATAACTGCTTTCAAAAAGAAAACATGCAGGCGTAATTGTAATAGGTTGTAAATATTCACACCGAACTGAGAAAACTATCCCTTAAGGTACTTTAAAATATCACTCAAACGAACTAACAAGTGTTTACTAATCACATCTCAGTCATACCAATCACTAGTCTGTTTGGCACCAAGCTTAATCCAAGGAGAGCGGCCATAATAGCCGATACCAGCCTCATGATGAGTGAAGTAGCTTCATGCGGTTATATTTTATAAATTAAAATTCAATTACCCCGAAACTGTGCTCTGAATCATCACTGAAATTGAGCTCACTTAAATGTGTGTGGGGACTTTTCCCTCTCCAGTTTGGTAATGGTTTGTGAGTTTATTTATGGGGAAACCAGTTCTTCAGTTGTCGGGACACGACCTAAACACCCGGACCTAATCATTGAAAGAAGAGTAGCTGAAACAATAGGGACTTATGGTATCAAAATTAGGTTGTCGACCGAATAGGAAACTTACAACCTAATTGGGCTGTAGAAGCCTTTGGTCATATCTCCACGATGCACAGAGTCGTTGAAGACTTTATATGATAATGAACATCTTCCTTTTTAATATTTGTCTCCAAGCATATATAATTCCCCATCCCACATCTCGATACCGTGTCTTATGCTCTATTCATAAGACCATAGTATATAAACCAAGTAATGAGATCCAAACATGATATCCGCCATTAAATAAATAATAGAAAAAAACATAGGAAACTCCTATATAACCACTTGAATACTGAAAAGGCAAATAACCCCGCTAAGCTAAACACTGCAAACGACTTAAGTGGAAATTAACTATCTGACAAGCAAAAGCCAGTAAGATATTCAATCTATATTATTTAATTCATATTTAACTAGGAACACAAGAGGGCAGTGTATACAAGAATAGATTAGAAAAGGTTCAAAAAGTATTCAATATCAAACATGTTGTTTCCTGTTATCTTCGTCATACATCTTCTGGACTCCACTTCTAAGAAAGGACATGCGCATATCAATATTACGTATCATTTCCGTAGCTCGTTCAACTTTGTAGGTAGTAAGCGCACGATAAAATAATATGGCGAAAATGACGAAAATGAGCATGGCCGGTATCAAAACAATTGTTGCAGCTATGGCAGACAAGCTACTCACAGACCAAAATTTAACCCAAAATGCTAAAGTTACCACAGCTAAAAACAAAATAATGCCAACGACAGTACTGCAAATCCATGCAACTTCAACAAATCTATAAGGGGAAATAGATAACTGCAAAAACAGATATCTTACGTTCTTAATCTGTTGTGCGGTGCTTCCTCAATCAAATAACAGTCTTGAGGGACCGTGTATGAGTCAATATGTGGCAAGATACAAGTACTTATCATTACAGCCATTATATGCACGACAACGAGAAGACATGAAAGAATCGTGAAAGCAAACAATAATCCTTCAGGTGGTTTACTTTCACCGACGGCAACCTAAATCACTTATTTACAGTCACTGTGTTAAATTAACCTGCAATTCAATGATTGCAACCATAGCGAAACCCGCCAGCAGCGCAGACACTCGACTAGTGGCTTTCAGCTTTGCTCGACTCAACTGCAAGTGTCTTCGAGCTAGTGAATATGAATCTGGGAGTACTGAAGAAGTAACAACGTTGTCTGAACTCATTGAAGGTCCTAACAGTAAAAACAAAACAAGTTGAGATTCACAGTAAGAACGATTGAACAGAAAACTTATAGTGGATAAGATGCCTTTACTTAATTGATTAGAAAATTTAAGCTTTATCGGTCACAACATCGTGACTGTCACTCGTCATTCTAACACACTGAACAAGGTCCCAAGAAAAAATTTTCGACCTGAAATATGATCTGTCAAGTAGGTCAGGATGACTCAATAGACAGCACAGGAATTTAAAATACAAGAGACAACAGTATCCCCCAGAGCAAAACAAAGTTTTCCACTAATTAATCAACTTATAGGATCTACTACTGAGAGAGTTGGTATCTAAACCTTTAAATGACTTGCTCAAGAGATTAGACTGAAGTTTGCTGGGACAGAACAAACACAGGCCTCTGGCACTCCACTTTCAAATCATACTTCTGAATCTCCTATTTAAAAAAGTGGAACCCGTAACGTTAAACCCTGCGCAAGTTCTGTCAAATCAAGATTGCATGAATGGTACAACTGCACAATAAAATATATCTCAAAGAAAAACTGCTTCTTTACTGGCTGTACGCGTGCATGGATTTGTTAACATTATACTTAGACCTGTGATACACATGGTAAATATTTACAAACGTTCTCAGACTACGAATTATTCGCGTAAAATAACTATTTTTAAGTAACTACATTACCAGATGCATTTTAACCAGACCAAAACATAGGTGGGTAGTAAACCTATTCCTGAAGTCACTAGCACCTCGTGAAAGTCGTCTAGAATGGGAACTTTCGCATTCATCCCGCGACACCGCAGTTAGGAATATGGGCCAGTTCTATTTCCTGTCGTAGGCGGACCTACATCTTACTTGTAGTATCACGCATAGACTTGATAGGTCATTCACGTTTACGACATGTAGTAAGACTGAAGAACAGCTTCCATTGCTGTTTGACATTAAAGGGTTGTTGATTGTTTCAGTTAACGTCGACTTTGAATGCTAACAGCATCAGCGCAACACTATGATACTAATCTGTGTCGGATCTAATGACTCAACAGTTCGATGGATTTACAACGTGATGTGCCCATATTTAAAAATGAAAATAAACGACGGCAGTTAATGTGCGAGTCATAATTTACAACATGTCATCAAGAACATGTGGTTGAAACCGGTTCTTTCATGCCCTTAATATGCTAGTCAGTGCAAGAAGTATTTGAAAATGTTCCAAACGTTTTAGTACATCGAAGCGCGAGTTTTGAAACACCAGTAAGCTGTTGTAGCGGTAACCAATTCCACAAAATCAATAGCTCATTAAGTGTTCGACATTGGATTCTGACCATGTTGTTGAAGTGGACTTGTTTAACTGAAGGCTTTCGGTCATGCATCCGTACCAGATCACGTTGCAACACGGCGTGGGACACAGCTCTTACGTTACAATAGCCAGTTAAGAATGAAGTCTCTCGATATATTGGTAACGAATCAAATATATCTTTCCTGTCTCTTCTCGTCTGACTTCTTGTTTCTACTTGACTGGGAACGATCGATTGTAGAAGATACTACTGGTTGCTAGTTGTAAAACTAGAATATCCGTGGTATCCTCAGTGGTGAGCCCGACGTGATCAGGTACACCAAGCCAATATCCTGTTTGTTCCATTTTTGGAATATTATTATTCATTGTTATTCTTTATTTGAATTTTATATAATGTGATATACTGTTTTTTCGCGAATTTTTTTTCCCGGATATTTTTTCATTACATATTTTTCGTTATCTATATTACTATGACGGAACACTCACCTAAGGTTCTTAAGTTTAAGTCTATTCCACCTATTTCGATTCAGTTATGCCATTTTGGCCCGACAATGTCGAGTCCTGGTTCTGCTACGCAGAAGCTGATTTTTGCATGCACGGACTCGCGCACATGTTTCCTCGCGGTAGTTAAGGCGTTACCGCGCGAGTTTAACAGGTACGTAACACCTAATTTGTTTACTAGTGATGTTCCCGAACCTTACGAAACTCTCAAATGTTCGATTCTAAAACGTGGAGACCTAACTAACCGGCAACGGTTAGACCAACTACTCCATAACATCGACTTGCAACATGGTTCTGTGACAGACATGTCGTTTAGAATGAGAGAGGTCATCGGCCAACAAACTTTCGATGAAGGCCTATTCAGACAACTTTTCTTGTCTAAACTCCCTCATCAGGTGCAGGCAGTGCTCGTCTCATTTCAAAACAACGCCATAGATGAGCTGGCTGCATCTGCCGATCGAATCTTAGAAATCACTAAATCTTCTAAGGCCGAGGTTTTTTCCGTCAAAGAAAAACCTCAATCGACACCGACTGACATAGCCCAACTATGTCACACGCTTACACGATATATTAGAGTTCGTAATGACCGTAGTCGGTCAAAATCCCCACGTAGGAGCGTTTCACGTAAGAGATCTATCTCTCGTGGTCGAGAGACTGGTGCTGGTATCACAACCAGTACGGTAAATCCTCTAGAAAATGCAGGAAGCCCTGCAATTACCCGAACTCCAAGTCCACTGACACGAAAAAGTACTCGGGGAACTTCCAAGCCGGCACGCGTTAACGGCAACCGTAGCCGGCGAACACAGCCGTCTGTTATACTTCACGGATGTGACTACGAAAGTTCGCTACCTCGTCGACACTGACGCAGAAGTTAGCGTTCTTCCAGCGAGTTCCAACGACAGACTTCGCGAGTCTGTTTTAAGTTTACAGGCGGCAAACGGAAGGCCAATCGCTACATACGGTAAAAGGTAAGTCTACCTTAACGTGGGTTTACGCAAACCCATACACTGGATTTTTGTGGTTGCAGATGTCTCTATGCCAATCATTGGTATAGACCTGTTACAACACCACAATCTACTCAACGACACACGCTCACGAAAGTTAATAGACGGAAACATTAAGTTATCTGTTTGCGTAACTCCTTGTTCTGGTTGCAGGTTATCCCCAGTCACAATTAAGCACGCCATAGACCCCCTGTATCAATCATTAATCGACAAATACTGCGGGATACACCAATCGCAATCGAAATTGCCTTGTGTAACCAGCAATGTTACACATCACATCTCGACTACAGGACCACCTGTATTATCGAAAGCCCGCCGACTTGCTCTCGAAAAGCTTAGATTGGCTAAAAACGAATTCGACCATATGATAGACTTAGGTATAATTCGACCATCAAATAGTCCATGGTCATCTCCATTGCACATGGTCCTTAAAAAGGACTGCAATGATTGGCGGCCAACTGGTGATTATCGGCGTTTGAATGCTAATACCATTCCCGATCGTTACCCGTTGCCTCACATTCACGATTTGACAGCTACCTTGAAAGGTACAACTGTCTTTTCGAAAATCGATTTAGTTAGGGCTTATAATCAAATACCGATGGCAACCAACGACATTCCTAAAACCGCCATCATCACTCCCTTCGGTCTTCACGGATTCTTGCGAAAGCCTTTTGGTTTAAGAAATGCGGCTCAAACCTTCCAAAGGTTTATAGACGACGTCTTCCGAGGTCTCAACTTCGTACATGCGTATGTTGATGACTGCCTCATAGCAAGTCCGAACAGAGAATCGCATATCTAGCATCTGGACATTGTTTTCGATCGACTCGAAAGGCTTGGCATTACTGTAAACACTCAGAAATGCCAAATCGGAACAAACTCCTTAGACTTCCTAGGACACATTATTGATGTCCAAGGCATCCGACCCATTAGGAGCAAAGTGGTGGCCATTCTGGATTACACAGAACTGACCACGATCAAGCAGTTGCGAACTTTCAACGAACTTGTAAGTTTCTATAGACGGTTCATACCCAAATGAGCGTCCCTTATGAAACCGTTAACCGACCAACTTCGTGGAAATGCGAAATCAATTAATTTAGACGACACCGCTCGAAAAGCATTCTCCTTAATTAAGGAACTCATCGCAAAGGCAACTCTGTTAGCACATCATTACGCTCAAGCGCCTATTGGTATCGCCATAGACGCATCCAACTCAGCAATCGGAGGGGTCTTACAACAATGGGTTAACAACTCGTGGCAACCTTTAGGATTTTTCTCGAGACGGTTGCTAGACGCGGAATCTAGGTACAGCACGTTCGGTAGGGAACTCCTAGCTATGTATTGTGCTGTACGGCATTTCCAACATTCCATCAAAGGAAGAGAATTTACGCTTTTTACCGATCACATACCTCTTACCTTCTCTTTAAGTTCATCTTCAGACAAGTACTCACCGCGAGAGTCTCGACAACTCGATTACATTTCGCAGTTTACTTCAGGCATTCAACACATTTCTGAAGCAAACAATGTAGTCGCAGACGCCTTGTCTCGAATAAGTTCCTTGAACAGTTTCCAAGGTATCGACCTTCTTAAACTAGCTCAGCTTCAAAAAGAAGACATTGATCTTCAGCATGAGTTATCCTCGACAACTCTCAAACTAAGTATTAAGCCGATGAGAACAGGTAAGGAAACCTTACTCTGTGACACATCTACAGGTAGGGATCGTCCAATAGTACCAGAACATTATCGAGGCAACGTCTTCAACACGTTGCACAATCTTTCTCATCCAGATGTCCTTACACAAGTACAAGTGTATTTTCGACATGCACTCACACGTTCTATTTTTTTCTCTTTTCCAGGACGGCTGGAAAAGAACGACGAAGTTTCGCAAGGAACCGAAATTTTCATTGTACTATATTTCTTGATTGCTATGTTGTACCTCATTGTCCCTTAGTTTAAGGAAAGACGACCAGATGCTGCTAAAGGAAACAAGCTATCAGAAAAGTGTTTACCAACGACAAACTCGTTGGGTTTAAACTTCTGGCTGGTCACGTCTTAGGGGCATCACTACCTCACTAGGGGGGGAGTGATCGGTAGCGGTAAATAATTCCCCAAAATCAATAGCTCATTAAGTGTTCGACATTAGATGCTGACCACATTGTTTAGGTAGGCTTGTTTAACTGAAGGCTTTCGGTCATGAATCCG